AGGGGACTGTGTCAGTATTTACAGGGGGTCCCCAGGAGGTGGAGTGTATCAGTATTTACAGGGGTTCCCTGGGGGGGGACTGTCACAATATTTTCCGAGGGGTTCCGGGGGTGGGTGGGTGGGTGGGTAGGGTTGTGTGTCAGTAGTTACTGGAAGTCCCTGGGGGGGACGCTGTCAGTATTTATGGGGATCCTGTGGGGGGCGAGGTGTGTCATTATTTACAGGGATCCTTGGCGGGGAGGTGAATCAGTATTTACGGGGATCCTGTGGGGGAGTGTGTGTCAGTATTTACAGGGATCCTATTGGGGGGAGGTGAGTCAGAATTTACGGGGATCCTTGGGGGGATGGTGCTGGTATTTCCACGTCAGCCTGTGTGAGCTCCTGAACTCACCCGTCCCCAAGAGCCCTTCATCCACTTGGTACAGGGGTGGACATTACACATCCTGGTACCGTTCAGCCGTAACATTTCATCACAGCGCCCATGTTCTGGGCACATGACTAGTCTCTCTTGCCGTCCTCCATCACAGGCTTTAGAGCACTGTTAAAAAAAACCAACAGAACAAACCCATTTTAGACAAAAGTAAACACACAGCCAGGGCGTGTTATTTTCATTTTTATGTTATCCTCAAACCTGTGCCTGAACTCTACACTCAGGACAATCTCTCCCCCTGCATCTCAATGCAACCTCCAGACAATCCAAACAATCCCTCAGATACTGCCATTCTAATTTCAAATTGCAAACCTTCACTTTGTAAACACTTGCTGGGACACAGGAACATTAGGAACAGGAGGAGGCCATTCTGTCCTTTGAACCTTCTCCACCATTCATTGCTATCTGGGCAGATCTGCATTTCAGCTACAGCAAGTGTTTTATTAACTGGACCCTGTGGGACCAGGAGTGTGTCAGCTGACAAATATTCCAGATAATCAAGAGGTACATATAACCTCAGTAAACCCTGACCAAGCGAAACTTCAACACATCAACATCCCTCAAAAAAAATCGATGTAAAGTCATTAACACACCTCGTAAAATCAATGTAAAAACACACAGTTAAGTAATAGAAACCTATTGCAGGGCGTATACACATCACTGTCATACTTTATTTACAGTATGAGCTCTCTGATGTTGCCGTACATCACGGTGTTTGAGGTATAGGTATTTCTACTATAACGCAATAGTTGTGTTCTTGTGTGACCTTGGGCTATAGAAAATCACGTTGTAGGGAAATTGCTATAGAAAACCACTATATACCCATACAGCACAAAGTTTGCGCTATCCAGACTGCATCCACTATTCATCAGTCGCATTACAGCCAATTTGCATTAATGAATCATGCGTCATAGCCGACCTACCTGTACAAAATTTTTGATATAACAAGGTGCAGAGCTGGATGAGCACAGCAGGCCAAGCAGCATCAGAGGAGCAGGAAGGCTGACGTTTTGGGCCTAGAC